AGATAGGATTATACCTTCCCTCTATGTCTAAGATGTAAGGAAGATAAAAGAAAAAACGAACCACGCTCTTGTTTTTGTTTCCTATTGAGATGATCGATTTCCAACATGCCCATTCATTCTCAACTCGCCATAGAGGCATGTCATATTCGGCTTTCAACCTTGAATGAAGTTTCCAGTACTAATGATGCAGATGCCACAGTGTTGATGTGCATTTTGGGAATAAGAAGAAGAAAAGTGAAGCACGAAAGTTGATGTCAAAATATTATATCCTGGAATTGAGCATTTTTGTTTATCTTCATGGTTAAAAAATGTCAAACTGTGCTGAAATCTAGATCCTTAATGTGCTGCTACCCTGGGGTTTGATCCCTTCGACGTGATCTGGCTTTTCGTCTTATTTCTCTTCGTTTGCATGGTGCGCAGGAGCGACAAATAAACCTCAAGAATTGGACGACGCAGTTCTTAGGAGGCTGGTTGGTATACTTTATTATAATTACCTGAAGTTTGAGTTCCTCTTGTGCTAGTATAGGATTCTCATCAGTTTTATCCGAAAACGTGAAGGTTAAGAGAATATACATTCCACTACCTGATGAAAAAGTTAGGAGGCTCCTTTTGAAGCATAAACTCAAAGGACAGGCTTTTTCCTTACCTGGTAAGTATATCCTCCCTCATTCAGTAGCTCATGCTAGTCTGGATTTGTTCTGAAAATTAGTATCTCGCAGTGCTGTTCTTCTGGAGGGATTAGGTTTAACTTTTTTATGTGAAGTGTAATGCGCATGGAGATCTTTTGTCGAAGATTAATTACAGTTCTGAAGTGGGTTCAGATTCTCATGTTGGGTCTAGAACATTTAGTGGTATGAGACAGACTAAAATGCTCTGATATATGTGTGTGCTTCGTTTTTGCCAAGATGACATGTATGTTTCGTCTATGGGTTGCTCCTTTATGTCCCTTGCATGAATTTTCAGTACTCTGTTTGACCGACATAGTGATTCTTCCTTGCATGTGTGGTTTTTAGTTTTTACTAACAACATGCACTTTTATTTATATAGCGCGACTGGCATGAATTGTCATACTGTAATTAGTGGCTGTTATGTCATGTCCTCTTTTATCTTCAAAGGAATAACACGTATAATCTTGTGTATTTCAGGCGGCGACCTTGAGAAGCTTGTTAGAGAGACAGAAGGTAAGAAGACAATCGCTCCACATTGGCCCTGTATAAGATCTTGAGTGGACTACATTTGTCCTCTGTGCATATGTTAGCTGCCAGACTACTGTCATTATTTACAGTAAAGGCCACTCGACAATGACGAACCCCGTCTAATAATTGTGAAACGCAAAACCAGCTTTCCAAATTACATAATTATATCATTACCTTATTCCTGTTTCGAAGTAAAAGGGACCAAAGTAAAAAAGTTAACTACTGTTTCCACTGCAGGGTACTCTGGAAGTGATCTACAAGCACTGTGTGAAGAAGCCGCAATGATGCCAATTAGAGAGCTTGGTGCCAGTATTCTCAACGTCAAGGCCAACCAGGTAAAACTTTTCACCTATATACGACTCACCAAAATGTTAAGTGTTGCCCTCTGAATCACGCACGCAACTGGTTGCAATGCAATGATAATTGATAACCAATATTCTCACCTCAGGTGAGACCCCTAAGATACAATGACTTCCAGAAGGCAATGACAGTGATCAGACCTAGCTTAAGCAAAAGCAAGTGGCAAGAACTTGAGCGGTGGAACGAAGAGTTCGGCTCAAATTGACGTTTCCACTGTAGTAGTATGGTAAAGTTATTTATAGACGAATTAATTTCCTGTTCAATTTGTCTTGGGCGAAGCCAAATGCATAGTAGTAGCAATATGTATAATCATGTACATGTTACACAGTATGTATATCGCTTCGGGTATTCTAAACTTTAAGTGATCTTATTCATGTATCTTTCACTAATGTGAGTCGAGTGTCAAGAGCACAGCCCGCTTGCTCCAGAAAGATCGATTATAAACAGTTTATAAATTTGTCAGTGAGGACTTCCAGCGAGCCACATACAGATGTTTGTAGCTGTAATCTCCGAAGTTCTGCTGTAAAGAACTCCAGCAGCTGTATGTCTTGTACATTATCGATACGTTTCAAAGTAACTGAAGTAGCTAAGCACTACTCTGCCTTCTGCACTTGTATCGATTTCAGTTTCAGGATTCACACTGAACTCTGCGTACGATGAGTTTAGGGAGTTTCTTGCCATGTAGAGAGATATTTAAGGGATTTCTTCGATCCTAACATCGACTAGGCTGGTTCAGAACTCAAAATTATCAGTGAAGCCAGTTTGAATATCCAGAAAAAGCTGGCACCTTGGAAAACTAGCCATCTCTTCCTAGTTGCTTGCACCACCCTGGTGAAATCTATACCCACCGGGTAGGGTTTAAACCAGTGTCATTAAAGCCGAGCCAAGCCGCTCGGTCCGACCGGTAAAATCGCCACCCGGTCACAAAACCGGCTCGGAACAATCTAAAAGCCGCTCCGGTTTTATGTAGCGGTTGGCGAGCGGCCAAGGCGGTTAACCGTTCGAGTCGATCGAGCCGCTCGTCCGGTTTTTGCCATTCAGCCACTAAATTTAATTAAAAAAATTGTAGAAAATTGAAAATTGAAATAAATCAAAAACGTCGGGCTCTCAAATTGAATCCTTATTTCCATTTCACAATTTCGAAAGAAAGAGATGAGCTCTGATTAAGAAATGTCCACTATTTATACTGATAACGTTTATTAGGTACCGGTTCTCTAACGGTTTTTAAACGGTCTAATGCCGGTTGGACCACTAAAGTGCGAGCCGTTCGCATTACCGGGTCATGCTCCGGTTCGGTTCTGACAACATTGGTTTAAACGGGTCACGTTTTAATCGGGTTGCGGGTCAAGTGGGTTTGAGTTGCTCGGGTTGTGGGTCAATCGAGTTGCTCGGGTCAAATGGGTTATGGGTCAATCGGGTTCGGGTTGGTGAAGTTGTGGATCAGTCGGGTTGTGGGTTGATTGGATTGCAGGTCAATTGGGTTTGGGTTGATTGGATTGCGGGTTAATCGGGTTACAAACAGGTTGGGTTGCGGGTTGTTTGGTCCAAACAATCGAAATTTTTTTTTTAAATGACTAGTTATTTTACTAATTGAAAACAAAGTCACCAATCACTATTTTGCAATGAAAAAAACATGAATGTACAATATTAAACAAATGAGTGGCGGGTTGAAATGTCATTTAAATATATGATATATTTACTATATGTATTCTCAAGTTTTCAAAATATTTGAAATGTATATTTCTACCTAATAGTTAAATTAATTTTTAAAATCAAATTAGATAATAAAAATATAAAACCAAAATATCTATCACCAAAGAAATACTAACCAAAGAGTTAGTGGGCTAGTTAACCTTAATAAAAGTCATATGTTTTTTTGATCGAATATCATAACTCCTTAATCATAATTCATAAACCCTAAATCACTAAATCGTAATGCATAATTGCATATCCATGAAGAAACCCTAAACCCTAACCGTAAAACTTGAAACTAACATTAACCATCAACCATTCATAACCCTAAAACTAACCAAAACCCTTAACCATAACACTAAATCATGGCCATATACCCTATACACTAAGTTACCCATGAACTATAGTTATATGTTATGAAATTGTTGGTAGAACGTATGTTATGTGAAGAATGTAAGTTAAGTCAATTTTATATTTGATTATTGTGAAGAACATACGTCCTAATCCTTCTAACTCTAAACCATAACCATATACTCTATACACTAACCTTAAACCCTGGACTGTAGTTACATCTTACATATCCACTATGTTTCCGAAGGAAGGGAGGAAAATGAGGGGAGGTGAAGGAAAATTAGGAGGGGAGGGGAAATTTGGAGGTGAAGGAAATTGGGAGGAAAATGTTGTTTTATGAAAGAAAGTGAGAAGGAAAGTGTGTATTGGGAAGTGTGATTAATATATTATTTATTGTTATATAATAGTAAAATAATTTGATTGCATGTTAATATTTGAATTGTGAATCAAATTTGTACTTTCTTTCTAAACCGCACTAGAGATTGTACCGGAAGAATTTGTGGTAAGGTATTTTGCTGTCAAATCGTGATTTAATCACACCAATTATTTAAAAATAGAGACTTTATTATAACTAAGACTTTATAATAATTGATCAAACATTCTAAATCAATTAAAATTTATTGAACTTAAGTATTAAATCAATTCTCAATTACCATAACTATTTACTAAGTATGAGCATATTAAAAATTACATCACGTAAAAAGAATTTTCATACTGTAGAAAAATTATATTTTCATTATACTTGTTATTATGTTTGCTCCACCATTATTTGATTAATTTCCTCATAGCCTTTGGTGGGGTCATGGTAGTTTGGGGAGTGTGAAAGAGAGACAGAGAAAGGGAAGAGAAGGGCTAAAGAGGCGGCAAAAGAAAAGAAAAAAGAAGAAAGAAGTGTTTCCTTCCTTTTCCCTCCAATTTGGGGTCGCTCTATACAGGAAACTTTCCACCATAAGCCCTCTCTTTACTACCGGTTAATTGCAAGGATGGTCACTGGGTTTACTAAAACTGTTCATGTTTGGTCACTGCAAATATTTAATTTCATTCGTGGTCATTAAGATTAGTTCAATAGTTCAAGTTTGGTCACTCTCCGTTAGTCTACGTTAGTTTTTGCTGATGTGGCAGTCAACTATTATAGTTGACCGTTAAATGAGTGACGTGGCCATTAAAAAATAATAAAATATAAATATTTACAATTTCCACCGTGGCCATGACGCGATCGTCTCCACCGCCGGCCTCGCTTTGCTTCTTCAACGCCGACCATGTTTGCATCGGCAAAGAACGGACGGACCCGATCCATTCCTCCCGCTTAAAGTTTGTCCATCTCCCCACCGTCTGATCCCCAAAAAACCCAGACACACCCTCTTTCTCTCTCCTTTCTTTATCATCATCAACAATCAGCGACACAAATTTCCCAGATTTCCCCTCTGTCTCTCTGTCTCTCACTTTGTCTCCGATAACAATTTCCACACGCAGAGATAATATTCCCAGGGACGAGAAGCAGCCACGGAGGAGTAGAGTAGAGTCAATTCCGGCGACGAAAGAGGTGGCACGGCGGGGGAGGGCGGATTATGCTGTTCGGGGTTCGAGTCACGGCGGGGACGAACTCGTTCAGGAAGAGCGTGAGCATGAACAACCTGTCGCAGTACGATCAGGGGAATCAGGACCCCTTCGTCACCGACGTCGTGGCGTCCGGGTACGAGTCCGACGACGTCGTTCACGCCTCCGGACGGAGCCGCGAGCGCAAACGAGGTAATTGGGTTTTCATAAAAAAATTTCTTGAAATTAGTATAAGAGATGCAATTTGGGGGGGGGGGGATTTTAATAAAAATTGGGGATTGGATCGTTTGATTGGTTTTGCAGGGGTGCCGTGGACCGAGGAGGAACACATGTTGTTTCTGGTGGGGCTGCAGAAAGTTGGGAAAGGCGATTGGAGAGGAATTTTGAGGAATTTCGTCAAGACCCGGACGCCGACACAGGTGGCCAGTCACGCTCAGAAGTACTTCCTCGGCAAGAACAATCACAATCGTCGGCGACGCCGCTCCAGTCTCTTAGACATCACTACCGACATCACTTAAGCATAGTTGTTGCTATTATTTACATATATAGTTTCTGGAAAAGTTGGAGAATTGATTAGTTATGTATTGGTTTACACAATTCGCCGACAATTCTATGATGGAAGTGGAAGACCAGCAGACATCGCCCAATCAAGAAATTGTGTTTTCCTCCTAAGTTTTCCTTTCTCTTCACTTTCTCTCCCTTTCTCTCCTATAAAAAGAGAGTGATCATGAAATTGTTGGTAGAACATAGGTTAAGTCAATTTTAGATTTTATATTATTGTGAAGAACATAATTCCTCATCTTAAGATTCCTAACCCGAAATCATTTTAGATTTTGATTCAAGTGTCTCAATGATTTATTATTTATAAATACATGTCGTAAGTTGCAACTAAGTTTACTTAGGTCAATTTTAGGTTTTGTTTCTTAAATTGTGATTTGTGAATCATTAATAACTTTTTATTTTACAAATCAGCATAAAGGTATAAAAAATTTTAAGGATTGTTTGCAAAAATAAATTTTAAGGATGGTCTGCCTAAGTTGTGATTTGTGAATCATTAATAAATTTTTATTTTACAAGTCAGCATAAAGGTATAAAAATTTTAAGGATTGTTTGCAAAAATAAATTTTCAGGATGGTCTTCCTAAGTTGTGATTTGTGAATCATTAATAACTTTTTATTTTACAAGTCAACATAAAGGTATAAAAAAATGCTTCTGGTAAGCTTTAAGTTGAGGACATTGAATTGGAAAGACTAACACAAAAGCCAATTAGTCCACGAAATCACTTTGTGATCATTTGAACTTGTACCCTAACTCCCGGCTCTCGTCTATCACCTACTTTTCTCGTTTCTTGCCGAACTTGAGCGCAGCCTCTGTCACTTTCAAATCGGCCGTCAACGCCACCAATCCTCCGTCGTTGCCGCTGCCGCATGGTCTCCACTCTCCACTGCTCGCTAGTCGCTAGATCATCTCCGACGTTGCCCCTCACCCGCATAGTATTATTCGTGCCAATAGGGCGGGTTCGGGTTGGGTTAATCAGGTTCGGGTTAGTCAGGTTGCGGGTCAATCGGGTTAAGGGTCAATCGGGTTACGGGTTAATCGGGTTACGTTTCAATCGAGTTGTGGGTCGGTTGGGTTGCCGGTCTTTGAATTTTAGTCAAATCGGGTTGCAGGCGGATTGCATTGCGAATCGGGTTGGTTGGGCGGGTTACTCGGGTCGGGTAATGTTTTGACACCTGTACTTACCTGCAAAGGTTGCAACTCTCTCAATTTATGTAACAGACGTTTTGTACGGGAAGAGAATGGGAAGACCAAATTGCATACAGTGGATTGAGATAAAAGTGAACGGCTATTTGTCGCCAACCAATAAAAAAATTCAAAATTTAATATTTGAATTTTGCCGCCAGAATTCTATATAAACATCATAATCAAACTTCTAACCACATTCAACACAAATTTCCGTCGCCGAGCTCAGTGCCTCCGTCGCCGGCACAGTCCCTCCGTCGTCAGCCACCGTCTCGTCGTCGCCGACCAACAAAGACATATAATTTTTTTCAGGCAACTTTACTCAGCTTCTGGCGATTTATAGCTGCGGCCGAAGGAAAATTCTGGTCGGGGCATAGCCGAAAAAATCTTTCGACCTGGCCACGCGGCGGCCGAAATTTTCCTTCGGTCTGTCGTCGATGGCGCCGTCCGAAATTTTCAGCCGACGTTAACCAAGTCAGGCTGAAATGTTTGTTAGGCCTAGAGAGGCCCTTTTCGTTGGGCCCAACCTGGTTGACGCCGACCAAAAAAGATCGGATGGCTGCGTCAACGACGGATCGAAGGAAAATTTCGACGAGTTCGTGGCTAGGCTAAAGGAAGATTCGGAAGTCGGCATGGCTGGACTGAAGGATTTTTTAGGCGCGGCGAGGTGCGAGCCGAAAAAATATTTCAACCCGGCCACGCCCATGCCATAATCTTTCTTCGGCCGCCAAAGTTTTTTTAATTTAATTTAAATATTTAATTTAATGTTTTAATTAATTAGTTATTATGAGCAGTTAAATAATTAATTATATTAGTTAACGTATAATTAATTAATTATTAATTTAACAATTAGGGTTATTATTTAATTAAAATTAGTAAATAAATAATTTAAACATGTTTACTTAGTGGTTAAATAATTAATTAAATTAGTTAACATATAATTAATTAATTATTAATTAATTAAAATTAGTGTTAGTATTTAATTAAAATTAGTTAATAAATAATTTGAACATTTTTTATAGTAGTTAATTAATTAATTAGTTAACAGATAATTAATTACTTAATGATTGATTGAAAATTAGTGATATGATTTATGAAGATTAGTTAATAATTAATTCGAACGTGTTTATTGAGTAGGTAATTAATTGATTGAATTAGTTAGTATGTAATTATCGAGAGTGTTTTAACGAATAATTTGAATTTGTAGATAATTTGATATAATCAAAGTAGCACAGGGTCAAGCTTCTCAAACCAAACAGAACCGGATAGGATGGAAATCGATCGGACAGTACTCACCCGTGAATAAGGGCAATCGATATATGAATCGATCGGACAGATTCAACTCGGAATAAAGGGCAATCGATATGGGTAGCTCGCAACAACTAGGGCGAATACCTAGCTGATAAGAGTCGCTCTAGCACTCTGGAGATTCTCGACAGAGTAATTAGGGAAAATTCCGCATAGGGAACTCGGCAATAACCTCTGAAATTCAATAATAATCGTCTAAGGGCAAACCAACGTGTTCAGCCCTTTAAATAGGCAAAGTACAACCAAAATCCGACTCCAACATGGAAAAACAATCATAAACCGACTTTAAAACATGAAAACTTGGAAATAGCCCAGCAAACCCGTTAAGCCCAAACCGTTAAGCCTGAACCCGTTAAGACCAAACCGTTAAGCCTGGACCCGTTAAGTAAACCCGTTAAGACTGGACCCGTTAAGCAAACCCGTTAAGGCTGCTTCTTGTAATCTGCCTTCTCTTCAACACTTCCTCCTTCTTCCTCCACTTGAATCATCATATATGGCTTCCCTCAAAATAGCTCCACGTCCATGGCTCCAAAGTAGCTCTCCAAATATGTCGCAAGCTTCTCCTTCAATGTCCTTGCCTTAGCACGTGTGACTGACCCATTGATGTCCTCATCAGCCGCTCCTTCTTCAAAAGGATTTGCCCTCAAATCCGAATTGCCATCCAAATAAGGTGCAAGGTCAGAAATATTAAACGTTGCACTTACTCCATACTCTCCCGGCAAGTCGATCTTGTAGGCGTTGCTTCCAATCTTTGAAACAACCTGGAAAGAACCATCACATCGGGGCATCAAATTTGATTTCCTCTGCTGGGGAAACCTCCCCTTCCTTAAATGCACCCACACCCAGTCGCCAACTTCAAAGTGCCTCGGTTTCCTGTTTTTGTTCACATTGCGTATGATCTGTTTCGTCCTTCTCTCAATGTTCAATCTCGCTTTCTCATGTAAACTCTTCACGAACTCGGCTTTCTTGGCTCCATCGAGATTGACCTGATCATTCAAAGGTAATGGCATCAAATCCAAAGGTAATGGCAGTCCTCCCAAACCTTGATGTTGCTCCTGATCACAGCTTGCATCATTTGGGATAGACTTCGATTGACAACCTCTGTTTGCCCATCGGTTTGAGGATGACATGTGCTAGAGAACAACAACTTTGTCCCCAGTTTGCTCCACAACATCTTCCAAAAGGAACTCAGAAACTTAGTATCTCGATCGGATACTATAGAATGCGGCATCCCATGTAATCGCGCCACTTCCCTGAAAAACAAATCAGCCACGTTAATAGCATCATCCGTCTTATGACACGGAATAAAGTGTGCCATCTTCGAGAATCGATCCACCACCACAAAAATCGAATCTCTTCCCTTCCTTGTCTGCGGCAAACCAAGCACAAAATCCATAGAGATGTCGATCCATGGAGCATATGGAATCGACACTGGTGTGTACAATCCAGATGATTGCACCTTCGACTTGGCCTGCTTGCATTCAACACACCTCGCACACAGATTCTCCACGTCTCCCTTCATGTGCGGCCAATAGAAGTGCTCTTGTAGACAACTCAACGTCTTGTCTGCAACGAAATGTGCCATTAAGCCTCCTCCATGAGCCTCTTTCAACAGAAACTCTCGAAGTGATGATCGAGGAATACACAACTGGTTAGCTCGAAATAAGTAGCCATCACTTCGATAGAACTTCCCATCGCCATGCTACTCACAAGCTCTATAGATCTCCCCAAAGTTAGCATCATCAGAATAGAGCTCCTTGATATGCTCGAAACCCAAATACTTCACCCCCATTGTCGTGATCAACGAATGCCTTCGAGATAGGGCATCAGCAACTATGTTCTCCTTGCCCTGCTTGTACTTGATCACGTATGGAAAGGACTCAAGGAACTCAACCCATCGAGCATGTCTCTTGTTTAGCCTGTGTTGAGCTTTCAAATACTTCAAAGACTCGTGATAAGTGTGAATTCACGAACTCCTTCGGCCAAAGATAGTGCCGCCACGTCTCTAAGGCTCGAACTAGAGCATAAAGCTCCTTGTCATACGTCGGATAGTTGAGGGAGCCCCACTCAACTTCTCGCTGAAGTAAGCAATCGGCTTCTTCTCCTGCATCAACACTGCTCCAATTCCCAAACTAGAAGCATCACACTCCACCTCGAATGTCTCATTGAAATCCGGCAACATCAGGACAGGTGCGTGTGTGAGCTTGTGCTTGAGCAGCTCGAATGCTCTAGTCTGCTCCTCTCTCCAATAGAACGTCACGTTCTTCTTGATGATGGATGTCAATGGTGCTGAAATTGGGCACAAATCGACGATAGAACCCAGCAAGCCCATGAAAGCTCTGCACCTCATTCACGTTTGTTGGAATAGGCCAATCGCGAATTGCTTTCACATTCTCTTCGTCCACCTTGACTCCATCTGCACTCACCACAAAACCAAGGAAAATAACACTAGAAGTGCAAAACGAGC